CCTAGGGCGAAGGAAGCCAAAATAAACGCTTAATAAAATTAACAAAACTTCCTTGGTACGCTAAGAAAGGACAATAAAATTGAATAATAATATGCGAGTGTGTTAGTTATTAAGCGCATGTTTAGATATCAAGAAAAAAAAAAGAAGAAAAGTATTATTGAAAATCTCTAAAAGAAAGGCAACATGGAAGTCATTGTCGCGAGGCGCCTTGATTGGGTTAAACATTGCTTGGTGCAGTTGTGCTTAAAAAAAAAACTCATTTAATCTCAATGTTTATAACTAATCTTGTACGTAAAGTATTTTAAAAGTAGTGGCTTTCTTGTGGTTGCGCAGTGTTTGAATGGGAAACTTCAAATTTTGACCAAAGAGAAGCAATTTCGTATTAAATAAACAAGTAAAAGCACCACAGTGAGCCACAGCCCGCCATTAAATACCCTACACTACTTTGCAGTAATTCGCATTAAAACTTTTCAAAATAAGAGCTTATATCAGACGTGGTCGAAAAAGTGATCCGATGAAGAGCAATTTCAATAGCGTCTTGCACCGACACATGCCAACACGCCAATTTTCACCAAAATATCTCAAATAATGCGACCATCGCAGATTGAAAACAATAGAATACAACAGACAGACATACAGAGGGACGGATAAGCTTAAATCGATTCAAGAATTGGTTCTGAATTGGTCGATATAATAAAAAAAGATGGGGCTATCTGAACCCTTCCAGGGTGTTATACATACTTTACATATTCTCTGAAGCTTCCTTTTGGGCGTTGCATACATTATGAGAGAAAACCCCCATACTTCAGCGGAGGGTATAAAAACAGAAATTGATATGGCTTTCCTTTCAAACACAATGTCTCGAGAAAAATACTTTTGTTGTTTCCCTCCTGTTTATTAATGAGCGATCTCTGAGATTTTCCCTTAAACTAAAAACTTACGTCACCTTGTCATTTACCGGTGAAATATTGCCTTAAACACCACATTCTTTTTCCACTAAAATACTTAAATAATTGCATACGTGGCCGAGTAGGTAAAGAATCGCGACTAACAACTCAATGGCCGCGGATTCAAATCGAAAATGAGTCAGAGTATCTAAGTTAAATCCATAGTTTGTTATATTTATATGTTTATATAGTTTGTAAATAAATTTAACAATAAAGAAATAAGTATAATTTATCGCACGTTAGCCTAAAATGGGATAACGAAAGATTCAAACCAAGACTGCAAAAGCATTTTTATTTCTTCTTCTTCTTATTATTATCATTATTATAATTATTGTCATTATTATTATTGTGATTATTTCGACTTGACCCGGAGAAGCCCAATCGATCAGAATCGCGAATACCAAGTCAGTGTTTGCGAGAGTACAAGTCTCAGTACGGAAGAGCAGATTTGATCGTGGCTGCACATATCTATGGCGAGTGCTTGGCCGGTAAAGAGATAACACCGATTAGGGCAACTACATCCCTCTCTCTTCGGTAACTCTTTTCCATTCCGCCCTCCTTTCTAAATGCGTTAAAAAAAATATGAAAAAAACGACATTACTTATACGACACGAATACCAAATTAAACCAAACAATCGTTGCTCTAGCGTTACACATACAACGTTCGTTGCCATTTTCACCACTTAATGTTCGCATTTTATTCTTTGCTGAGTTTCATTCATATTTTTTCTTTCTTTTTAATATTAAAAATATTTTTATAGCATTCGCGATTTTTCGTTTAAAATTTTATGGTCTGCAACAGATTAACGAAACGGCAAATGTTGCTCCAGCCATACTTTTTCTGTATTTTTTTTTTTTTTTTTTTTTTCCACAATTCACCGTCTGTGCATATAATGAGGCCTTCATACGGTGTAACAAAGCATTATATATACCTTTTAGTATTTGATATAAACACATTGTTTGTTTAGTTTATTTATGCTAATAAACATTCTTTTTATTTCCTTTTCAAATGGGGATTTTCTAAAGGTCATTTCGTGTACACAGCGTATATTTCATTCATTCATGATAAACATATATATATATGCATATATAAATACACATAAATAAATCTTAAAATAAATGTAAACAAAAAAATATTCGTCATGTGTATATGAATGATTTTGAAATATTTCCATTACACATACGCGCACACACACACACACACTGGATATACATAATGTGTACGGCAGGGCAGACAAAAATGAGAAATGAATCCCTGTCTCGGATTCTTTGCGAATCAGTGACTCAGACGTAAAATGTTATTTTCAGACGTGTCAATCTTTGTTCTTATATACATATATATATATATATATATATATATGTGCAATTTGTGTAGTTATGTACGAAATCCTCTCATCTCTTGTTTTTCGATACTTTTACGTGTCGTATCTGATAACATGACGCAGAAAAATAACATAATTAATGAACATATACGTACGTGTGAATAAGGAAGAGTAAGCGGATGTGTGTGCGCGTGTGTATGTTTTTTTTTCAGGTATTTTTAGTCGCCTCATATGCCGTTTATTTCTCATTTACGTTTGCGGTTGTTTGTATAGCAATACCATTCGCATTCTGTTTTCTATATTGTAAATGAGCGCAATAAACTATTTTATCCTTTCATTTTAACCCATATCGGATATGTTAAATTATATCTAATAAATTGTTATTTGTCACGTTTTATCCTGTTTCTTTTTGTATTGATTTGTATTAAAGCGTTTATCTACAAACCGATCTCATAGCTACGAGACAATAAACCCTATAAACCAAAGGGCAGAGTAAAGGACATTCTTCTCTTCAGTTTTAATTTAAACGACACCCGAAATTTGTCGCAGTTTTGTGTAAGATAATTTAGCTTAGCAGCCACCTGCCGGGATGTTTACGGAAACCATCATTACTTTTCCTAAATAACTTCATTAATTTCAATTCAATACATGTAAGAATTTCGGCTTATTTCTGTTAGAATGCTAAGAAGACTAAGTAACGGCTTATATGTCCAGTTTATTAAGAATTTATAACAACACGCAACATATTATACGAGCAACTGAATATTTATCATCATTTCATAAAGTCCGATCTACGGCATAGGCAGTAGAATTCGAGTTTGTCAGTTGGAAAGCCAGACTTTCTGCACATCGTACACTTACATATGACTACGCGGTAGCACAGATTTTGGACTTAGAACATTTGGACATTTTCTTAACAAAGTTTACCCGCAAACAGATTTTATTTAGACTTCGGTTAACACAACACAGCTCAACTAAAATTAAATAAATTTCTTGTCCGCTTGCTTGTCAAACGCAATGAACATTCCTGGCCGAGACTACACATGTTATTGATATATCGCAAATATTTGAAATTGATATTTTTAAAATATTTGGGAGCAATTTACACTTCACGGGACGATGTACGAACTATAATAAAATTTATATTTACGAAGTACGCTCTTCTTGTCGCTTAGGTTCGAGACATTAGCACAACTCAATCAAGTCTCAGCATTGGCAATTGGGTGTTCGTTAAAAGAAAATTTAGTAATCAAGGGGCTTTTTTTTTCTTCAACAGTCGGTCAAGGGCGCCACGGTGAACGAAAGTAAAGAAAGAAGTAAGAAAAGAGAAAGAGATAGCACGCGACGGCAGCCTAAAGCCTACACCGGTAAAATAAACCGACTAAATATTCACTAGAACTACGACCAAGTAAGGTCTACCTCGCCGAAATTTGAAGCCGACGCGCTGTCATGGAGACAAAACTTTCTTACCAAAAGAAAACCGAAAAGGCTGTTGACCTTAGATAAAATTGCTGATTTTAAGAAGGAAAGAATAAGACAAACAGGCTTCCAAATCAGTTCGAATACTTTGCGAATATCAAACATCGTCTGCAACTCCATCTGCCGGGTATAGGAAAAAAAGAGGAGAAAGTAAAGGAGAGCTTTCAAAAAAGGTTTTTTCCTCCATAATTGAAGGGCCATGCCAACCTAGTGGACGCTAGCCTCAACTGCCGCGGATTTCTTCTCGGTCCGTTCTGGTACCGACATCTCCGCGGCCACTTTTGCCCTTTTCATAGGACAAACATGGAAATTTTCATAGCCTGTCTGTCGCTATTTATGAATAGTAAGCAAACAGTCCAGCAAGCCAAAGTACCCTCAGTTTGTATTGCAATGAAGACGTCTGCTTTGATCGATTTGGCCCATTTTCGATACCATTTCCCTTGGAAACGCTTCCAATATTTTCGGGAAACTTGAAGCCGACGTTTTTTATGGCTATGAAGAATATATGTGCTTTACGCGGGCTCTGAAGCTTTCCTTGTGAATATGATAAACAATTCATCGGTGGCGGGAATAAAAAAAATCCTTCGAAAATGCTTGAAACTATTTTCTCTTAAAATCGTACTGAAACGGTGCAAAAAGTTTGCTGACGGCAAACTGTGCATACAAAATATCCCTCTAAAGGAAGAATATCGTGAAGGAGATAAAAAAAGATTGTTTTAAATTTTATTTGAATAATCTCGCAATTTTTTTATGAAAGTATATTACGTTGTGAATACATTTAAGCATCAACCAAGTTTATGATACAAGTATTTCACTACAAGTTAACAGAAATTACAATGCTTTAGAGCGACTATAGCAATCCACTCTACCGTTACAGTGAGTTAAGCATAAGAGAAGGATATAATTATTATTCAGGAAATTTTTAAATCATAACTCGCTAAAGTAAGATGAACTTTTCGATGGCAATTTTTTTTTTTGGCAAAAGTGTATTTCTTCCATTTATCTGCAAATGATATGAGTTGATAGATAGCAAGGCATAGCTTTAGTATTATTTAGATGATGACGATAATTTAATGTTCGTACGATTCAATATAATAGAAGGATATCCGTCAATGCCTGCGCTATATTCCATTATACATACGCTTACATACATAATCTTAAGTATATTTACATATGTCGTCCATATGTCGATATATATAAATACATTTGCATGAGCATGAGTATTTACGAAACCGTAAAGCACATAACATACCTGATGTAAAGCAATAAAGTCCTTTAGATCCCTCCACTTACTCTCGTATAATGAACGACGCGAATACATGCGTTGTATTATCGCAGTCACATTACCGAATACGACTGCATGCATCAAAGCTGAAATACAAAGGAACGAATTTAGTGACATTCATACACTAATGGGATTACAACAAAAGTGAGTTGAGAGTTAAAAGATCATATAAGTGCAAAACTAGCAACCAACAAACCAACCAACATACATTTAAGATGTACGTCGTATGTCGACATATTTGAATGTAAGTCGTGATGTGAATGAATTCACCATTCACTTATATCCGCTATCAGAATAAACGCTTTAACTTTGTCATTGCGTTTGCAATGCTTGAAGGTGAATATATTATACATACACTCTATCCAGATTAGCATAAAACAGAAAGCGGTTTTCATCCGCTTTATATAAATATATATTTACATTAATATTACAAGAATTCGAATGAGAAAAAGGGGTTACCTAACCGATGGTTATGATGATTATTCAAGATCGAGAGCAAAATTGAAAACCGATTTAAGATTCAAGCAAAAAAACAAGTCAAAAACAAATAAATAATAAGTAAATGAAAGCAGAAAAAGCGCAAGCCAAACAAGTTCAGCTCCAATGGTAAACTTTTATAAGAGTCCAGGAACTGTGAAGTTGGAAGAAACTTGAATGGACTTCTACGCTCTTCGTTTACTTTCGACAGCAATACTCTTAAGTATACCAAAGTTCTTTTGCGCGATTAAAGTGTTTCTCTTTGTTCTTTGCACTCTCTTGTAGGGGAGTAGAAAGTGCACCACATAGACGAAGTTGACTATAAACGTAAAACCCGGCAGAAATTATTCAAAATAATACAAGTTTTCAAAGAAACGTAAAACATTACAAAAAAATTTCTATATTTCGTGCACTTTCTTCTTTTTAAACGCATCACATCGTTAATTTAAGTTATTTTTGTCTTTCTTGCGATCGTGCTTGTATTACCGGAGTAGACTTTTCTAAGTTAATTTTTTTTTTTTGGAAGCTGACATTCAACGTTCTTCTTTATCATATCATTTCCAGCTTATTTTATTTGCTTTCGCTTCTTAAGAAAACCAGATGACTATGGCCGGTTTTCCAGAAGAAACCTTATGTAACTGCAACTCATAACCGATTTCTTCTCTTAATAAAAAATTGTTGCATGCATTTCACGTCCCGTACTTTTAAAACATCTTACATGAGATATATTTGTTACAGGTTAAAAATATAAGATGTCGTGACATTTTTTCTGATTTCCTTCGACTTTTATAATCTTTTTAATTTACTTAGTCCACTCCTTTTCTCGAAAATAGTACACTTTTTAGTAACATTTACCAATCACACAAATTATTCTCCGCTGAATTTCGATGCAAATCTCGACCATGGTGCTCGCTTTCATAGGGAAGCAAATACCTATGCTACAAGAACCAAATTTAGTTCGAAAGAGGATATCTTGGAGGATTGCTTAGAGTTACTTTCAAGATAGATTGCAACATACGAAGGACGTACCGAATGCCATACAATTTGTCAATCGAAATCATACCTTCCTCTCTTACTTCTTCCCTTTAAGGGCACCTGTCAAACGGCGACCAACTAATCACATTTATTTTACTATAAACAACATTTTCTTCATTTCAAATATTCTTTGGTACGTAGGAATAGACAAAATCTCACAAAAAAATTAAACTAATTTCTTTAAATTTTGAATTTATGAGGCAGTCGGGTCGGCTACCTGGAAGTTGTTGAATAATTATTAAGGGCACACATCCTCCTGGCATCAACTGTTAGAACCATGCTCAACATGTATACGTTAAGTAGGGATCCAGATAAGAGGTATAGCCAAGAGATAACCAAGAGAAAAACGTTAAGAGACCTCGTAAATACGTTGTCGTCTATATGTCGGATGGTTGACTTTGCCAGCATCTCGGATATCAGATCTGTCCTCTTCGTTGTGTTTTATCGAATTTTACCTAGATGTAGGATCCAAGGTGTGGGACGAAAAGGAAAGATGTTGTAGAATAGAGAAATGTAACAAAAAAAAAAAAAAAAATGCTGCGATATCTGAGAAATTTAGCGTGTCGCAAAGATATTGATCAGATATGGCCCCTAGCTCCCAGCCAGACGCGATCATCCCATGTCGTCATCGACAAGCAAAGACGTTGTAGGAGTGAAGTGAATATTGTATGGATTAGATGGGTTAAGCGGATGAGTTTAAATGTTGACTCTAATTATTCAATCTAGAATAGTTCTCTGAACGTAGAAATTTTCACAAACAATTTCTGGTGTTGTTCGTGCGAAAAGTGAAGAATGTAAGGCCTTCAGCATATAGTAAGAAAGGTAAAGAAAGAGCTTCCTTATTAAAAACAAACTCAATGTGAAATTTTCTTAATACAAAACACTGCATAAGTGACACGAACTTAGATAAGTCGCCCTTTTGTTTATACGTTAAACACTTGCAAAATCTCATGCAATAAGTTATGCGCGTACAGTTTCGTAAAAGCAACCTTGAGAATGTGTTAACAAGTTTATATAAAATGACGTTTCCCGGATAAAATCCATTATATTAACAAAAAAAAAAAAAAAAATTTAACAAGATTCAAATGTTATCTCGCAAAATTACGTGCAAACGTAAGCAGTTATAAAAAAAAGCGAATCACATCAAAGCCACTTCTTTCGTTTTTCTTACAAAAAAGACTAATTTTTCATAAATGATAATTACCTTTGAGAGCAACAGTATAAAAATAAGCCTTATACGTCTTATGGAACGCAATGAATATGTTGATATAAAGGTTTTGAATACATATATATGTTCTTTAATGCATTTTAAGTAGAAACCACCACAACTCAAACGCACTAAAACCTGTCCACATGTGTACACTTCGTTCATTAGTAAAATAAGCTAAAGCGTTATACTGGGCCACGTCCCACCATTATGTACTCTGTGTCATCTTCTCATAGAATGACTTTCCAAAATGGTGCATTAGATGGGAAGTGGCCGAAAATGTAATCCGATCCCAGCCATTTTTAATAGTGTGCGTCCTTGGGCCAAAGCTCGTCGTTGTACCAAATTTTATCAAAAAATCTCAAAAATTGGAAGCCATACGGTGAACGCAAAAAAACAAGACGAACGGACAGACGGACAAGCGAGCTTAAATCGATTCAGAAAGTGGCTTTGAAGCGTTCGGTATAATAAAAGGTGGGTCTATCGCAAGTTGTTCTGTGTTTTGCATACATCCGCACAAACTTAATACACCCTTGTACTACGTGTGGTGTAAGGTGTAATGATTCCGGTTCTCTTCCTTGTCTATTTAGCATATTGTACGCTTACGCTTTAGTGTAGGACGTGCACATAAGTCAAGATTTATTATAATTTTTTTCTTCTACTCACTACCAAGAGGTGGGATGTGTACTTATTTTCTCAAAACATTTACAACACCCGGAAGGAAACGTCAAAAACCGCATTTAACTATACACATATTCTTGATCAGCTTCAAACTCTGAATCATCTTAGGCGTGTCGGCCTGTCCGTCTATGCAATGAATCCTCCTAACAGCTAAAAACACCTTTGCCTTCTAGGTTTATAATAATAACATAATTCAACTGGATGGTGGATACACGGTAGAAATGTCCGCGCCTCGTCTATTCTACAAAAATGCAAAATGTGTGCCGGCCCCATTCGATATTATAGAGCGGAAATAGCTCATCTTCACGTTTTTTCTTGTAGAATCAAAATGATATGTTGTCGAATATAATTGTCTTAGATAGAAATGTACTTATGGTGTTTTGTTCCAAAATATATATAAAACCGAAAAGGAAGCTTCAGAGTCCCTATAAAGTATACTGAGTATAAACTCTCAGTGTGTCTGTGTGCCTGTGTGTTGTTGGTGCTCTCCTGGTTGCAAAAATGAAGATATCGACTTTAAAGAAGGTAGAAGCCTTGGAAGTTTCTGCACGCAGGTTAGTATTGAAAATGGGCCAAATTGGTCTGAGCAAAAATGCGCAATGGAGCGTAAACTGAACGCAACTCAGCTTTTTTTAAACAAAAATACTTCGATACTTGCTCATTACTTGGAAATTAGCAAAGTTATCGTTTGGGTCGAAAAATGGGATCAACCGGCCGGGTACACACAAAGTTACGAAAAATTAAATTTAATTTTTTTCACTTTTTTGAGATTTAATGCTTAAATAAGACAAAACGTTTAAGACTATGTTGTACCCTCCTCAAATGAAAATATATTATCTGCCTAATAATGGGTTAATTTTAAACTGCACATGGTCGACACGGCGGTTAATCTCTTCTTAATGATACCAGCGATATGGGTATCAAATAAAAGAACTTGGAGAGTAGAATGTCAAAAGCATAGGAATGGGGATAGGGTATGCGAGATTCGGCCCCCGCCGAATATAACTGGCTTACTTGTTTTTTTTTTTTTTTTACTATTATTTACAAAACAGCGTAACGGTAACTTAGAAACAGAAGTTCATCAAAGAATTGTACATCAAAGTTAGTTTTTTATTTAATTATAAAATATTTACTATATTTTGAGATAATATTTTTGGATAATATTATCGTTATTTAATATTCCCTTAGTTAAATCTCACAATAGTGTACAGTTTCATTATAAATTTCTATTTTAAAATAAAATTTTATAAAAATCATTTATTATTTAGATGAACAACATTCTTAACCAGTACAAATAATCAACAATAACTATTATGATAAATACGTTCTCATGACGTGCATATAAACTGTCTGCCCTATAAATAACTAGAGCAACTGTTGTACGCCATTGTGCATTTATACATGAAGTAAGTATTATGCAAGCTTTGTTATTCATTTTTTTTTTTTTTTTATTGATTATTTGAAAGAGGATGTATGTAAAACAAGCATATATAAAGCAATTCCTTTTGACCTAATGGGATGAAATCATATCTATCCAAAGGAGACTTTTGTTACTAGAGAAAAAATCATTTTTCATCCGGACGACGCAACTGTTCAGATGCTCTCACCATAGCTAGCGTAACTGAAGAATTCAAAGAGTGATTTGTTTCGAAAAGACATTCTATTAATTAAGTTCATCATGCTTCAATTAGAGGCATTTTGTGGCCAATAAACCTGATACATTTAGTTAAGTATAAATGGCAAGTGCTTGCAAGAAGTTTATAATGTTTGTATCATGACATTTTTCAAAAATGTCATCCATGCAATACAAAATGTTACATATACAAATTCAGAAGAAGTTGGTAGTAAAATTAAAACCATTTTTGAATTACAAAGGATTGGCATTTGTTCTTCTTCTTCTCTTCGCACAAAAGATGAGAGAAACAATTCTTTATAGGGCGTCTTGCTTAACGGGACTTTGTAACCTTGGTTAGGGATTTATTACAAAAATCGCATCAAATCGCTTACACACAGTCATACGTTCGTTGAGGTACTTAGGAGAAATTGTTTTAATGGTAACAGTAGCTAGTATTTATCTCAAGCATACATTTGGATATGAAAAAGATTGTAAATTATAGAATATAGCTTAGAACACTTACCGCCAATTAGCATCATAATGATTGAAAACACCTTTTCTGCCGTAGTATTTGCAGAAACATTGCCAAAACCAACGGAAGTTAGACTCGTGAATGTGAAATATAATGCTGTTGAATATGCCTCAGCATTTGTTATATTATAAACTGGCACTCTAAGACGTTCTGCAAGAGCATGCATCCATCCTGCAATGCACACAAACAATTCAATGAAATTACTTTTAATCCGCTTAAAATTAAATGTATTATACTTAATTACATGTAACTTATTTTTCGATATAAATGACACATTGAATACGTTATGGGTCCCGTTATCTATTAGCTTATGGTAAAACTAATTATATACATATATATATAGATTACTGCTGCATTTAGCAAAAGGTTCAATAATGCATTTGCTGTGTAGTTGGAATATAAGGAATACACAAACGCATATACGATGCGAACGGGCAAAAGAACGGGGGAATGGATCGCAAGGATTGCAAGTAAGAATATTTTCATGAAATCAAGAACGCTTTGGGAGTCTTTATCGAGTTCTTTGCCTCGTCAAATTTGGTTGTTTGCATATAACACTATTTATTAATTTATTAAGCGATAAATTGTCAAAAGTTTCATAAGTTTTCCTTTCAACGTGAACTACATTTTGCAATGGTAACGTAATAAGATATAAATTTGAAGTCGTTATCACAATTTGAATTGTAATTTAAACTCTCTATCTATGTACTGAGAAACGAACAACAAAATTTTAACATTAAAGGTCAACCAATTAAACATTTTACGATACTTGCTTTAATAAAATTCTTTATTCTTGTGTAAAAGCCCAGTTTTTACGAGAACTTCTATATACAAAAGTATTTCACAAATGGGTCCATGTAGTGCAAATTAAGTACAGTAAATTTATATGTCAAATTATTATTCTGGGCTTATTTCGATCATAAAAAAGTAAGTGTCAGTGGCTGTATAGTTGATTACTTTCTTGCACGCAAAAGTTCATTTGGAAAGGGAAGAAGGGGCGAGCGAAAGTCAAAATGTACTCCCAATCCATTGCACATCTTTAACATTTATTTTTATTTTGAAATAATATTTCTCATGCATTCTTGTCGGAAAGCATTAAAAACGGTAAATTGATTTCTTGTAGCATTAAAAGAAAGCGGGCGTAAAAATCGTCCAAACCAATTCACTTTCAACCTCTTTCGCCCCTTGCTAAAAAATTACAAAAAAATCTTTTCCACTCACTAGAATATATATTCACTAGAATATAATTTCTTTCATGCCTTCGCTTTTCTAAGCACAATACTTGTAGTTTTGGAATAAGAAAAAAAACTACTGTTTTTTTCGATATTTATTTTGAAATACGAATCTACATAGGTACATTGTATTGCGAACAGTTTTAAACGTCACTTAACCCATATCCGCTAGGATTGATAAAACAAATTTTAGACATCTGTTCCTTGATTTTGTTGATTCTTTGTAAGATTTTCACCGAATTACTTCACGGAATTCTGTTTGGAATGCTAAACTTAAATCAAAGTCTTGGTTTAGCCAATTTTTTCACAGCAAAATTTCCTGGAGCACTCGGGGATCGCATGCAATGATACATTGCATTGCTATACACCTCAAAGGCACTGCGATGTCTTTCATGCGAGACTTCATTATACACATTTTGATCCGTTAATACTCTAAATATGATAGTAACTAAAGTTTACCCTCGGAGATCTACATCTCTCGAATAAAGGTTTCATTAGGAATAAAATCGATAAGTCTCCTGAAGCTTTAGTGAAGCTGATTCTTTGCAAATTTATCAAAAACGATAACAATGGAAGCATCGCACTTTTAACTACTGAAAATCTATTAGGTTCTTAGCAGTTCCACTTATATGCTGCTCGAATGTTGGAAAATGTCAGTTTAGCGTCTTTTTCCTTTGGCTTATTTCTACAAGATGATCAAAGCAATCTATTAAAGTTTGGGATGAAAACGTAAGCACATCGATTTTAAAATATGAGAGACTAAAGGAACTCTCAAAGAGTTAATACACGCATCGTCGATTGTCGATTAAAGAGATATGAGAGATTTTGAAAAACCTCTCACATCATGTGACTTACCTGTCTCCCATCCATTATCGTTCAGCATGTTCTCCTTTTCCGCGATTACATACCAGATGCACGCCAGCCAATGTGCCACCAAGGAGAAGAGTAGCATTAGCAAGGTCAAGATCATGGCTGTGTATTGAGAATATCGATCCATTTTTTGCAAGAGTCTTGCCAAACGCAACAAACGGGTTAATTTCACCAAATGTATATGAGACTCCTGAAAGAACATTATAGCGCTTAGATCATATCTTTCGAATATTATAGTTAAACAAATATTTAACATAACCTTAAAGTGCCTCATCACGTTTTTTTTAACATAACCTCTTTGTCAATATCGAAGATCGCTTAAATTAAATCAACTGTCTGTCTAAAATTACTAAAAAATCTCTTTCAGATAAAACAGAGTTTTTAGCTAAACGAGGTCTTTAGTTCGCTAAATCTATCAAATATGACGACACCTGCAGTGAAACGATTCTCACTTTGTCCTGCAATCAGACAGAATCTTTTGAAATTCTAGATTAAAACCTTTCGAATTTCAAAGCAAAAAAAAAATGAAGGAAATATAATTTCGGACAATCCATGACGCGATTTTGCCATTTTTCATCTTAACCTAATGACACCATGCAGAAAATAAATACAGTCTTTCGCTTAACCCAAGGCATGCTTATGGAACTGCGATACGAATTATGAACTCCCCGACAAAGTGGATGCGTTTAAGGCGGTGATTAGATAAAACACTATATTTGTGTGAACAATGCTCGTAATGCCCGCATTGCTTGTATATATATATATATATCTAAATATGATTACATAGATCTAAATAAGTGGTAACCTGAAGAGCCCTGGTCTGCAGAATATGTGGAATGCGGTAAAACTCGCCAGCCTAAGCTGAAAGTTATATACTTAGTTGCTTTTTCTGAAGACGAAGGGACATAGTCGAATTTTAATTGTTTTCACGAGTAAAATTTGTTGACCAATATCTCGCAAATCGCTTTCGAACTCTTTCTGCACTCTCATCCCAAGCCAACTTAAACATAACTTCATAGCTCCAGCTGAATTTTGTTCTAGCTTTATACAGTTGAAAATATAGAAAAACGGGGTGCCGTAAATGACATATATCGTGTTGAACTTTGTGGATATACTGAACCAGGAATATTAAATGTTATTGAAATTATTAGAATACAATCTTATTAAACAGTCTTGAACAGTCTTAAACAGTCTTAAACAGTTGTAAACAGTTGTAAACACATTTGAAAAAATGGTACAGTGCTGGTGTTTCATTCATTTCAATTATCACTCTCAACTTTCACAGAATCAAATTAAATGAAATCATTTCATTGCAGTGCATAATTAGGACAATCGCAGTTGAGACAATCAATCATGAATGTATTTAAATACGTACAAGGTGTCGAATTAGAGACCACTACACGGTTGCAGAGTAGTAAGGTAGAGTTACTATGAAATGCAAAAATTCCTTCACCATATTAAACGATGAGCTTTCTTTGTGATATGGAGTGAGTGAGTGCAAGAGTTTATTTTTCACATGTACCCTACATGCGAGGGGGAAAAGGCTTACATGAAAATTCTTTTCCTAGGCAAACTTTTAGTCGGTCGTAATGTGTATTTCGGCAGATGAATAAACAATCTGTCTTACTATCCACTTTAAGCGAGCGAACATATATTACATGGGAACTTTTTTTTTGTCTGTAACAACATTTACAACGTTTGTGCTTATCGTCGCATGGAATCGCCGTCAAATATTCATCATCTGGTCGAGTACTTCATCCATTCCTCTTTTATATACAAAAAAAAAAAAAAAATGATCAGAGCAATAAATAAAAATATCTCGTCATCTTTTGAAACAATCATAAGTGCTATTAAACGTTACAAACACAGTGAACATAAAGTGGAAGTGAATGAATTTGATGTCAATATTGTGGAAAGTGACAAAGATGACAGCAGTGTTTTATTAATGCCAGTTGGAGTGATTTTAAGCTACAAATTGAACAACTATCACAATTGTTACCCAATAACACTGTAATAGCTTGGGATCCGTCTGGCTACGGCAGATCAATTCCACCGAATCATGATTTTGATTTGGATTTTTTTCAAAACGATGCCCGTCAAGCACAGTACAATTGATGAAAACTTTAAATAGACCAAAATTTTCTATATTAGGTTGGAGTGATTGCGGTGTAATTGCACTTGTTATTGCAGATCGTTATCCGGAAAATGTAGATAAATATTAGTTGTATGGGGTGCAAATGCGTACGTAAGTGATGAAAATGTTAATATATTGAAAGGTGTAAGAGACGTGAAGAAAAGGTCGGCATGAATGCGCGAGCCTTTGGAGAGTGTGTATGGGGCAGAAAGATTTGCAGAGATATGGAAGGAATGGGTAAATGCGATTTTAAATCTCTATAAAAACTGTGAAGGCGACCTTTGCATGAAAGAATATCGGGAAATAAGGGCGAGAACTCTTATATTCCACGGCAAAAAAAAAAACCGATGTTAGCTAAAGAACATGTACCCTTACTTAAAGCAACATCTACGAGGATTTAAATATCACGGGTTTCCGGACGGGAAACATAACATTCATCAACGCTATGCCGAAGAATATAATAAATTGGTAGCCAATTTTCTGTTGGAAAAGTCTTAAAGGTATATTGTGGTGTTTTGATAGTTTGGTATTTCTTGTTAATGACCATAGTAAAACAAAATGGTCCTTATACAAATTTTCGTTTGCTATTAATGCAAGTAAAGATATATTCATATTCAATTTTCAACGTCACTTTTTAGCTTTATTCTAAATAATTTTTTTAACATGTTTATGGGTTATTTGTGATAATATGGAACAATAGAGATAATTACAATAATACAATATTGGTCACACTGTATAACTTAGCAAAGTCAAATACGCAGGCATATTTACCTCTCTCTGTGTAGATGCCTGTAAAATTACGCTAAAGCAGATGAATTTAATAAAGACTCTGAGCACGAAGTATTAAATGCGCACCAAAGTAAAAATGATATATTGATCAATAATTTCCGTTAGTAAGGAGACGAAAATCATTTCTTATACTCTACGCCACTTGCGGTGTAAGGGCAGATTAAGTTTGTTCGAATCTATGCAACACCTTTTGTTACACCAATCGATTCAGTATGACTCCATGAAGTTTGTCTGTGCGTCTTCCCGTCCATCTGGTTGGCGGCTATGGTCCGCAATTTTTGAGATATTTTGATGAAATTTCATAAGCTGATGTCTTTGGGACAAACGGTATCGAAAATAGTTCACATGGGAACACTTTTTCGAGAAATTTCCCAATAACTGTAGGAAAGTGCAAGGTATTCTGCTGGTGGATGCCCTATAGTCTTTTCGTTTGCATTTTTTTTGTAACTTTATTCACATAGTTTCCGTTAATTTATTTTACACACACAGCAGTTTCCGCCAAATATCTTTCGTACGATGATATTTTTGAAATTTGGAAACGAATAACAATGGCTGCGGTCCTCAGATGTGAGAATATGAAAGGTGGAACGACAATTTCAACTTGTATTGAATTTTTTTCCTCACCAGCAGTGAGCAGTGTCCACTTGGGACACGACTTTCTTATGCGGAAATGCAAGACAATGAAACGACATTGAGAGACATTAGAGATGCTCTAGTCATCTTTTTAATTTTCAAGATTCTTTTGACGTTTGTTCGTTTGTCTGGCCGCTGCTTTCAACAGATGTCACAGATGTCCGTGTGAACCTTGACTTAAAGTCAAAAAAACACCGGAAGCTGTTGTTTTCGAAGCAGAGAAGTGAACGTAACCCTTGCTCTTTGCTCACCGAAAAGCAATGTTTAATCGACACAAAAAGTTCTGTTGTTCCAATAAGCAAAACAAAGCTACAACCGATAAACAAATAATTGGCATGACATCAAATTTCATGGAGCGCCGTTTTAGGGATTAGAACTTCCTAAAAATAATGGGGATTTTTTCTAAAATGCGATATCTAGATAATCGCCCTGGATGACTGCTGTGTTAATTAGCTCCCAGCTATAATAAATATTGGATGATTGAATTTAAAGTTAGTCATAGGAGCACAATTTACGAACATCGTTCATGCTGCCCGGTTAAGGTTACAGCAGTAAGAACGTTTGATAAATAGAGCAATGCGATATCGGATGCACGGAAATTGAAAGTGAATGAGTCGGCTGTGAACATCTATGCTAACCTATTTTGCAAGGATATTTGGCAAAAAAACAATATTTTGACTCAAGGCAGATACCGTGCTTATCCACAAAACGCAACGAACGCATTCGTGTGATCACTTTAATGAAGGGTTCATCACTGCTTCACCAAAATAGCTTTTGCCGTGCCGAAATATGCTAAAGCAGACAAAAGTGGACACATGAATGAGAAAGATTGTGGTCAGTTTTTTTTAAGGATTGATAAATAATTCAAATTTGTTCTACTTGGATCTTGTATACTTCAGTTTATGCAACTTGTTAGCTTATGTTCGTTCAAATCAATGTACGTTTGTTTTCAACGTGTGTTTGTCTGCTTAGTAATTCTTAATAGTTCTGCTAAGTACTGACCATAGTCAATGATTGCATGTTGCAAGGCAATCCATTTAAGGTACGTCATCCTTTTCAGTTCTCTTTTATTTTGTTTACTTTGCATTATTTGCGACATCATTTTGATTTGTCATATTTTGCGGGTTTGGCAAAAGTGATTGTGAACATTGTAACTATGAACCAAAATTTATTTGTTTAATATTTCTGGAATAATTTCTAAATGCTTTAAGTTAGTTTTAGTTTTCAAAGTTCAATAAAGTCTGTTCTCATCGGTCAAATGCAATTAAATACTCGTCTCACTTCTCATTTGCCTGGTGGTTATTTCTCTTCGTACTCCCGCTCGTTTTAAGTACTGAGGGGCGATACATGAAATTAAGTTGACTTAATTTGGAGGCAGCGTTTGAATTAAGTAGACAGCAAGATTTCAAGGATTTTGTTTTCCTCGGCTTTGCATGAACCCGCTACATACATGATATAACCTTCATTGGCTACTCTGAAAATCATAAAACGACAATAGGCGAATACTATTCAGCACTAGCATTCGCAAGAGCGAACTTTTTATTATCTGGAAATCCCATAAGAAGAAGACTCTGTCATAAGCGTTTTGTATGGAATGAAAAACTCGGATAGAGAATAGACGGATATTTTGAACT